AAGAAAGAGGGCTGTTGGCATGCGGAAGCTGAAGCCCAGTTAACAAGAAGCAGGGCGTCCTATGTCATTGTTAGGGGTGCCTATTTGGCTTTCTCTTGTTGGTTGGTCCTATGCTGGAAGCAGGGACAAAAAGTATGGAAGTTGTCAGTTATTAATCAAGCCCTGGTTATATTTGGGCTGATAGTTACTGAAGTTATTGTTTAGATTTCTGGATTGTCACTAGAGACAGCGATTTGGCTTTCTGCAAGTTTGACTTCCAGCAGGTTGGCTTCCTGGGTTCTTTATTGTAGATAAGGGGGTTGGTTTCTTGGGCAGGTTGTGGGGGAAAGTTCTATTTTTATATTATGATTGGGTCATTGTCGACTTCTACATGCAGTCTCTCAGTATTCGTCAGATCAGGCTGATCAATGGAGAGTCAGAGAGCAAACATCACTGTTAACTGCCTAAGATGACATAAACTAAAACTGCCTAAAAAGAACATTACATAAAAGTGCTAAGCACCAGTTGGGGGCTAACAGAGCATCCAGAGAAAAATACATCTGTATTAAGAAAATCTAACCCGTCAAAAATCAGTGTATGAAGACTACCAAGATGGGTGGATAGTTCCTGAAGTCCACCTCCCTAGGTGAGGTTTTGAAAGCTGGGACTGAAAGTCCAGGTACTTGGCTTTCTTTCCTCCCTCCCTCCCTCCCTTCCTCCCTCTCTCCCTCCTTCCCTACCCCTTTCCTTCCTTCCTCTCCCTTTCTTTTTAATTTTTAAAAATTTGAGATAAAATGCACATAATATTCACAATTTTAACCATTTTAAAGTGTACAAGTCAGTGGCGTTTAGTATATTTATAATGTTATACAACCATCACTACTATCTAAGTCCAGAACATTTCCATCACATCAAAGAGAAACACGGTACCTGTTAGCAGTCAATCCCAATCCCTTTCTCTACCTAGCCTAAAATTTAGAGCAATTTAGAAGCGGCCTCAGAACCTAGCCATTCTGTTCAAGCCCTTTTCTCAAATTTTTATACTGTTTTGCTTTAAAATAATTGTACAATGATTTCTCCTTCTCAGACAAAGGATCTTTAGAATCTCAGAAGGAATCCCACACTCTCCAAATCAAGCAATTCAACAGAAATCCCACTGTCTACTTCTCAGGGCTAAAAAGGCCAAAAAAATATAGGAAAGGAAATGGGCCCAGTAATATGCTTCACATTTTATATATGTTATTACATTTAATCTTTACAATAGCCCTATAACAATGGTCCTTTTATCTCTTTTTTACAGATATGGAAATTGGCTTAGAGAGGTTAAGTTAACTTCCCAGGATCACATGAGTAAATCAAGAACTTGGGCCTGGATTCAAATGCTAATTCTACTGCTTACTGTGCAGTCTTGGACAAGCTACTTTATTTCTTCCTCTAAGTCTTGGTTGCCTCCTCAGTAAAATGCATACAATAGTAGGATCTACCTCAGAGGGTAGGGGCTGTGAGCACTGAGTAAGGTAATGCTTGTACATTTGCAAGCTAACATGTCATGCTTTCTGATTAGGTGTGATGTTTGGATCGTCAGTGGCGCTTGCCTTCTTTATGAGTGAAGAGCTACGATTCTCACCCACTTTTCTGGCTCAAAGATGAAGACATGGAAAAAGTCCCTTTATCCTCTGCTTCTCCAAAAAGCAAAAGTGAAAATTCCCAAACTATCAAAAAAAAAAATCACCACTCAATCACAACTGAATAATTAATGAAGATGTGACATAGTTTTTGAGGAGACTCTGGTGATATCTGGGTGTCTTTTTCTCATCGGGAATACTCTATTTCTTAATTTGAGCCCAAAGGAAAAGATATGGCATAGCCTAAGCATTAATACTGTGTGAGACCAGCTCATGGACCATCAGCGGCTCCTATGCCCATCCACAAAGCATGAATATATAACTGGAAGCATTCTCATGGTTTAGGCGAAGACAAGTTAATCCATGGCTGTGGACACATCCAAAATGTTTTGACATTAAGAATAGCTACACCCTAGTCCAAAGAGGTATTAATGGCTCAACTGACCTGGGCTGCATATACAATTATTAATGTATTGTATCCTTCTAAGATAAATGACTGCACTCCCCACTTCCCAAAGGAGCTAAAATTTAATCAGTCAGGAAGTTCTCTTTGACATCAGGAAGATCTTGGTTCAAGTTCCATTTCCACAAGTCACTAAATCTCTGAGTCTCATCCGTTAATAGGATAAACACCTACGAATAGGGTGGTTATAAGAACTAAATGAGATCTTGCATATAAAGTGCTTAGCAGAGTACAGTAAGAACTCGATGTATGGTAGCTGAATTTATTATGCCCACTCGTAGAAAACTGGAAAGAACAGGAAAGTGTAAGGAACAAAAAAAGTCACCAATAATTTTCCCTCCCAAAGGCAACTACTGTTAACTTCTAGTCAGTCATCTTTTTTCTATACGCAGTTTGATTTCATATAGATCCGAGAGCATACCACACAAACTATACGCATTCTGTTTTTGTTTTGTCTTTTTTGACCTATTAATGTAACTAAGATATTTTCTCACATCATCCACAGCTAGGAAGTGCTTCTTTATGGCTTCTAACAAAATACTTTTTCCTAATTAGGAAGCCCTTGAGAATGATAGAATCCTGCCTACATTACCTTCCTGCCACTTTGGGTCTGACCTCCTGGCCTTGGGAATCCTCAAGTCTGTCACTGTCATCACTTGAGGCCACTGCAAAGAATCTCCTCAGTGCTCACAGGGTGTTCAGTGTGCAGGCTCCCAAAAACCCAAAGGCAGTGCTCTGCCATCCACAGTGTAAGGTGGTGCAGAAAGCCGTACATGCTACAGCCATCTGCTCAACTGCCTCTCAGATTTTTCTCCCACACAACACAACAGAAGCTGCTAAAAAATAAAAAACAAAACTCCCAAGCCTGCTCAACTGCCTGAAGCCAAAGCTCAAGCTCCTTCCTGGACACCTTTTCTAATACCTTCTCTTCAAAGGAAGAGCGAGGAGTATTACTGGGCTAAATAGTTTTGTTTTAAAAACTTCCAGGATATTAATAATGAATTTGGTTCTCAGTATTTGAGTTGCCCCAACTGCATTGTCCATGCTGACCAATCCCTCATTCTCATTGATATTACCTCTTATTTTTTCAGGGAATATAATTATCTATCTAATTGTGCAGCCCAAAATTGACCTCTAGACATAGGATTAGTGAAAATCAAATCCAAATAAGATTTAAAATATAGATAATCATCTATAACATTTATTTTGACCAACTGTCTGGTTTTGGGGGGACTGTAGAATCACTGTTGTTATTATTATTGTTGACCTTAAATGAATAGCTCTCTGGGAGAGTAATGGCCATGTGACTATGCAGAGAAGACATTAAAACGGACCGAGAAACAGACGATTGGGGTTTCTGAAAGGTCTAAGATTCTGGCTCTATCAGCGACGAACTGTGTGACCTTGAAGAGCTCAAATTCTGAGCCTGCTTCCCCGCCTAAAAAACAGGAATAATCATCTATCTCCCCTTTGTCAGCCTTATAGAATTTTTATTTAGAAAAAGTTAAACTGTATGTGTAAAAGTAATTTGCAGCTTATAAAGTGCTATGCAAATGTACGGGGGAAAGTATTTTGCTTTTAAATATTGGGCTGTCGGAAAAGTCATGATGTATTTTTTCTACGTTTTTCATTGCAAAAATGCGTCATGACTTTTCCGACAACCCAATAAAAAGGCAAGGAAAGAAACGATGATCTCAAACACATCCTAATCGTCTTTTGAGTTTTTATCTACATAGTCAACAATTGCCCTCAAATGCTAAAAACAGATCATTCTGAATAATTCCACCCTTGATTGTCCAGTTTTCCTCCATGCATGCATCATGCGAATTGAAGGACTGGCTATCTTCATGCTGTGTTAAAGGAAGCTGAAGTGTTAGAACAAAACAGGTTGACATGCTATCTCAAGGAACTTATACCAGCTAAGGAGGGACTGAGGAAAGTTAAGGCATTAGAAGTAGGAAAGGATTAGGATCATGGAGGTTATCAGAATTTAAAACTAGAAAATGGTATAAACAGCTTAGAATTTAAAGAAATGCTAAGAGATGGCTTTCCCAAAGAGGGGAGCCATTCTTCAAACCCCTTGACAAGTGATTTGTGAAGCTATTATACGCAACTCCTCCAGAGCCTGACATTTGATTACATTTAAAATTCTTCTTTTGCTTCCCTTTTCCTTCCTCCCCCATACACCATGTGTTCTTGCCCCTACCTCCCACTTTTCCCTCCTTTGATTTATTTCTATCCCAATCCCTTTGCGGTCTAAGTCCAGTTTTGCAGGGGTTTCCTTAACCACTCCTAGCCTGGCTCTCCGTGGGTGGCCTCAGCACCACGTATGCACATTCCTCTTTGGGAAACTCCCATCTATCTCCTCCTTGCAGAGGAGACTTAGAAAATTATTCCAAACTATATTACTTTTGAAAATAGGAAGATAAGAGCTTTAAATTCCAAGCTGTTTCCCTAGGAGGAGACAGGACGTGGCCGGGAGAAGCAACGGTAATTCCAAACCCGCTCAGACTTGGTCATTGGTGGTGGCACGATGCTTCTGATTCCCTCTGGGCAGGGTCCACTGGCGATAGGCATAGCAGGTCGGGGGAAGGAAACAGACGGGCAGAGGCTTCCAATGATGGAGAGAAAGAGGTGAAACAAAAGGAGTTGATGGAGGAACGGGAATAGTCAGAAACAAGGAAAGACGGGGGAAACAATGGAGCAAGGAACGAAGTAAAAGAGAAAAAAAGGGACAGTAAAAGGGGGAGGACTGAAATGAGAAATAGAAACAAACCAGGAGGGAGAAAACAGGAATGGCCGGAGGGGCAGAAACAGAAGTGGGGGGCAGAGCGTGGGAGAGAGACCGGGTGGAATGAGCGAGCGGGGAGAGGAGACGGAGGGAGCGGGGCGACTGCCATGCCTAGCCTCGGTCTATATGTTTACTTCCTTACACTGTCGTCGGTAGCTGCCTTATCTATTTTCACCTCTGGCAGGAGACGCCCGCCGATGTGGGAGCCGGGCCCGCCGATGAGGGACACCACGCCGTTGCAGTCCACCGTGCTGTTGCGCTTCACGCTGCGCCGCAGGCTGGGGAAGATGCGCGAGGAGCGGCTGCCCTGGCTGTAGCCGCTGTAGCCGCTGTAGCTGCTGCGGCGCTCGCGGGCCCGGATCGGGATGAAGAGCGAGTCCCGGCGGCCCTCGCTCTCCTCCACCGTGCTGTGCTCGTCGTCCGCAAACTCGTTCTCTGAGCCGGGGTCCCGGAACCGCCCGGGCCCCCTGAAGCTGAAGATGCTGCTCTTGCTGTTGTGGCGGGAGAGGAATGGGGAGCCCGGAATGCTGAGCAGGGACTGTAGGGGCAGGAAGAGAGGGAGAGAGAGAAGTGGGGGGGCAGGCGTGAGACTCCGGGAAGCTGACCCCTTCTTTACAGGCTAAGCAAAGGCTGTTAGCTTCCCCATCCTGGCCCCATCCTTGCATTCCTTTGTCAGAACACAAGTGTTTCCAGAAAGCACTTTGGATATCGTATTTCTACGACTGTTCAGCACCCATAATTACTCAGTTCTTCTTGCCCCATATCCTTGAGATATACTTGTCTTTGACCAGTTAACCACTCAAAAAGTCTACTCTGTTCACTCATGCATTGAAACGATGCTTTTATCTCGTTCTAAGGTAGCCAAAGCACTGGGAAACACATCATGTGTCTATTTCTCATACTACGGGATCACATGGAGTGTGCCTTTAATTTACTCAAGACTTTATGCCACATTTGGCAAAAAGTTAAGAATTTAAAAGTGGATATCACTTGCCATTCTTTCAATAAGAACATGCCCTGGAGGTCTACTGCTATGCTAACAGCGGTCTTCAAGCTTTTGCGTTCCCGCCCACTCCATTTTAAAGTCAACATAAGTTTTTTTCCACCAAAAGTTTAAATATTTGTAAATTATGTAATTCTCAGCAATGGCATTTTGAAATAAAACACTTTACGATGGATTAAAATTTTTTCCTCAGTTCTTTCTTCTGAACTCATAATTCCATTCCACATTCCAGGAGAATTTTGTGATAAAGTATATTTTATATTTTAATGTATTTTATTGCTCACCTCTGAATACTTTTTTACAACAAAAAATTATAACCTGTACTTTAAAAATTAAAAATTTCCTGTGACCAAGAGTCTCTAAGAAATTTAAAAAATCTCTCCTGAATTGAGTTTTTACTAAAATTCTTAACACAATTAAGATATACAAATATATATTTTATAAATAATTATGAAGCTTAAAAAGCAAATTTTATTAAAATGTATCTCTTAATGAGATGAATGAGATTTTTCTTTTTCAATTGGTGTTTTGGTGTTTAAATATTTGTAAATAGTATTACTTATTATTAGAAAGAGACATGCTCAACAATTCCCCTCTCCCTCTTTCTAATATTCGATTTTTAAGTGCTGAGAAACCTTATTAGAGTCTTGGAACAAAAGAATTTTGTTATAGTAATATCACTCAATTCTTTGAACTCTTTTCAAATGATATACCAAAATCACATAGTAAGCTATCAGCAAAATTTATTTTAATGAGCTATTGGCTGACAATTATATAAATTAGGTCCTCTATTCAATTTTGTTGAAAGCAAAGAACTAAAAACCACCCAACTTACTAAAGGATATTTTACCTAGATATTAGAATTATTCCAATTCTTGTTTTCTGTGGATACCAAAAAGGCTTTATTCATTCTTTACTATTGTATGGGTTACTCTTATAGGGGTTACTCTTTTACTTAAAGGAATCTTATTTAATACAACAGAAAAGGTTGGAATAATCAAAATATTGTTAATTCCTATGCATCATTTGCCAACATTAATTTTTTTAATAAAATGATTTTATCTTACCACATGCTTTAAAGATATTTTCATCAAAATCTTAATGCCACAGATTTAGCTCATTTAATTTATGAAAATGTCTAATGTCCTCACTGATAAAGCAACTGGACAAATCAGACTTATTTTCATAGGAAAATGTATGACCTCATTTTTCATTTTTAATAAATGTATTAATATGTATCCCAGTGACAACCTTCTGGCTCCTGAACTTAAGATACCCCAATACCCCTGACTATAACTCTATGCTTCACTCTTAACAGAAGTGTGTAAGAGGTAAGTTCAGAAAGCCTTAAAATGGATTTACGTTTCCTGGATTAAAGAAAACTTTGTACTTTAGATTCCACACATAAGTGAGATCACATGGTATTTGTCTTTCTCAGTCTGACTTATTTCTAAAGAACAAAATAAAAGAACAAATAAAACAGAAACAGATCCATACATACGGAGAACAAACAGATGGTTTCTAGCTGGGAGGAGTGTTGAGGGACTGGGTGAAAAAGGTGAAGAGATTAAGAAGTACAAATTGGTAGTTAAAGGAGAGTCACTGGGATGTAAAGTACAGTATGGGGGAATACCATCAATAATATTGTAAAAACTATGTATAGTGTCAGATGGGTAGTAGACTTTTTGGGGGGATCACTTCATAAATTATATAAATGTCTAACCACTATCCTATACACCTGAAACTAATATAAAATAATATTGAATGCCAACTATAATTTAAAAAATATATAGTCATGGGGATGTGCAGTGCAGCATGGGGAATATAGTCAATAATGTTCTAATAACTGTGTATGGTGTCAGATGGGTAGACTTGTTGGGATTACCACTTTGTGAGTTATATAAATGTCTGATCACTATGTTGTTCTATATGCCTGAAACTAATTAAAAAAAAAAAAGCTTTGTAGACACTAATATTTTCAATTGTCCCTTTGTTTGGTACTCCAAAGATGTTTATACCTTTGAGTAATATACTACATAAGATTTGGGAGAGGTATGCCTTCCTTTTGTAAAGTGGGAGGAGGTTCTGAAAAGGGAAATGGAAAAGGAGAACCGGTGTGACTTTGGACCACAGGGCTAACCTTGGGCATTGGAATATGTAAGTTAAGGATCTGGGAATCAGGTTCCTTAAAACTAACTGTGCTTGGAAAGCGTCCATGTGTCCCAAAGGGATGTACTCCCAGTTTGAGGACCACTGCTATAAGAGAAAGAAACTTGACAAACAACTGACTTTAGACAATCCTCCTTGCTACCCTGAGATACTTAGTTTGCCCAATTAGGACTTTGAAGGAATTTTCAAAATAAATTTTTAACTATACAACATTTTTGCCTTAGCGTTTAGGCCTTAACCTTCTTATAAAATGATTCCACTGTGCAAGTTCTTTGTGGGCTGGGACTCTGCCAATATAATGTATATTATAACTATTAGATAAACCTTTTAAAATAATACTTTTGATGATAACCCGGGAATGGCTGTAGGGTTCCTCTTTAATATTTCTGTCCATATCTTTGAACTAGAACTCCATTTCTAGTTCTAGACTCAAAATGCTTCCAGTTCCAGTGTCTATAATGTACGAAGTCCCTGTGCCCCAATCAGTATATTTTCTTTGGATAGTTCTAGTTCCATCACATTCCATTCTTTCATCGGTATTTCCCTTGTTACGTAGTCTTTTCCTGCCTTGGCTCACAGCAACTCACAAATCTCTGAGACAATACATGAATTTGGTCACTGGGCGCCATATCAAGAAAACCACTAATCACAGATGATTTGATATAAACGTCACTGCTACATACATACCACATGCTGCATAAAGCCTCTAGAAAAGAGAATGCACCTCTGCAACATCTCTGACCCCTTTCCTGGTCACGAATTTGTTTTGCTCTATTGCCCCAACCCTGTACCAGAAAGGGGAAGCTACACTGGTTAGATTTCAATGAGTTCATTGAAAGGATGGGTCGCTGTGTGTTAAAAGGGCACACATATGGCCAGCTCTTATACCTCCTTCCTCCATGCTGTTGGATTGGTCAAGGGATCAGGGCTCCCTCCAAATCACTGCTTGCAGTTCCTCTTTTCACATATATGTTTGGGCAGCCTCACTGATTCAGTCCCCTGAACTAGTCCTCAGTGTGATTCACAGACCAATGTTAGTGAATGGCCTGCTATTGGTTTGCAATGAGATAAGTAGAAAAATGGAGAGAAGCATTTGGAAACTCTTACAGCACTTAGACGTCACAACATCCAAGAACGTGATCATTTTTCTAGAAATCCATTATTTTATTTTACAATTGTATCAGTTTATGAAAACTTGGGGGAAAAGGAAACTGGTCCTTCACCACAGATTGAAAAAAACTTCTCTAAACAATGTGCCCAGTGAGCTGGCCCTGGAGTGATCAGGGAGGGGGAAATATTGACTTGAGAGTTAGATAAAAGGAGAAGGTTGGGGATAAGGGTTTTTTGTTTGTTTGTTTTGTTTTTAAGATTTTTATTGCGGAATTGGGGGAGAGAAACAGACAAGTTGCTGTCCTTTTGTTCTTCAGTCTAGTTGTGGAGGACATCACTTCACTGGCTCGTGTTGGTTATCATTGTGCTCTTCCTGGGTGAGGCAGTCGCTCGCCGGCCATTGGATGGCTGCTCACGGCAGCAGCTCAGGAAAGCTCACACCCGCTGCCGGCCAGCCCCACTGCAGCCTAGGCCGTCGCCGGCGACTCACCGCAGCCCAGCTCCAGGTCGAGCTGTTGTTCACCATCTTAGCTGTAGAGGGCGCAGCATCACTGGCCCTCATGTGGGATCTGAACTGGGGCCTGGCTGCTCAGAGCTGGCATCCCAAACCAACTCCTAATGTGCCACTCATAAGCTCAGGGAATTAGGGTTTTGTATTGGTTGATTTGCATATGAAAGACACCTCCAAACAATTTGTTATCTCTAGGAATTAAGCTAGCTAGCACAGGGAGGGGCATTCTCTTTGCATTAAGCAAGGCTCCTAAAATGTCAAAGCATCCTAAAATATAGAGAATAAAGAAATTGAGATTAGGGAGGGGGGCTGGGGTGGCTACCCTCAGTAAATTATCTTCTCAGGGAATGGACTATATCAGGATTGGCTACGGGATACATGGAGGAATGGAACAAGTCATCTTTTCCCCTTCCACATTTATTGCAGTCAACTCTTGCCAATAATGGAACAAGGAATTCAAGAATAATAAATTGTTTCCTTTTAGTGTGTATTGTCTCAGGATCTTGATTTCTAAAGTTCATGGGTTACTGAATTGATCATTATCTTCCTGATCACTTTCCTATCAGTTAAGAATAGGGTTTCAGTGATGGCTCAGGATCCATGGCTCTATTAACTCTTGGGATCCAGCTAGTTAATGAGATGGGCAGGGCTTACTTCCTGTTTTCAAAATTTTTCCTGTCAACCAACCAAGAGCTTCCGGTCCTTTTCAGGTCCTTTTCAGGTAGTCACATCACAGCTACCTGAA